TTGCCAAAGTACTAATAAACCATTATTAAACAAGACAAACTATGAGTGCTGCAACTAGGAGAAACTGAACATGTGGTATGGTGTTTGTGAGTGTGTTCATGCTGCTACCACCTCTCTGTGTGTGGCTGTGGGCCCGGCCATCACAATGAGTTACAACCTTTTCACATAACAACTCCAAACAGACGGAGCAATTTGGCTTTGTAAATCCAAACCTGACTTTAACAAACCTGTCTAAATGAATTGCATGGCTAGAAGCTACACAGCTAGCCAAAGAGCTAGTCAGTCACAGTGAGGGCTCGCTAGCAGTAACAGGAGGTAGTGGAGTAGTTTATTGCATTTAAACCCCCAGATGATTCAGTATGAAAGAAGATTTAGGCCACTAAAGACAGGTAAAGTCAAAATTAAAGAGCCATGACTGTTTCTTTTGTAATGGACCACATGAACAAGATTCTGATCTGAAACCATCAGAGCCTAAGTCTTTGTAGATGTAGAACTGGTTACCTAAGGAGGTCAATTGGATGTTAAAACACATTTTAGATAAGTGAAACTTAAGTCTTTACCTTAAAAGAGGCAAAGTGTGATTTTACTTTTGTCTGTCTAAATCAAAATACTAGTTCTTAAAGGCCTACCAAGACCACCACTGCTCAGACCTAGACTAGATCTTTCAGATTTTCAGATTTATGAAACATTGATTCTCACTGAAAATTTGCAAGAAGTGTGAATTTCATGGCATTTTTCCCATCTAGGCCACATTGGACCATCTTCTGATCCAGAACCATCGTGCCAAAACTTGTCAGGACTGGAGTGGATTGTCTAAGAAGGTAAGTGAAATCATTTTGGATTTGTGAAAACTTAATTCTGTACACTTTCTTTCTATCAGAACCACAATAGACAAGTATATTTACCAGAATCATAATACCAACACCACTCTATTCTGGACTGAGTCTGAACAGAGTTAAAGATATATGTAAAAATAGGAAGACATGGCAAACCTGCTGCTTTGTTTCTGTCTAGACCACAAACGACCATGTCCTGGTGTAAATATTTTGAGAAAGACTTCCCTTTTTAAAATACGGTTTTAAATTTTGTGAAAGAAGTTGTTTTTAAAGTTTGTACTTTTTTCTTCTCCCTTTGAAGTCCACATGAGTAGTAATCCCTAATGTCTGGCTAGTCTTTAGTTAGATAATGTGCTGTCTCTAGAAAGCTACCAGGACAATATTTGGAAATTGTTCTGTCTTCTGCTGGTTATAACCTGAACAATAGAACCAACACATTGTAGCACAAGCACAGTGACAACAAACCTACGTGATTATGTTCATTATTCTATTAGCTGCCGCATTTGTTGGGCGTTGGGGCTCTAATGAGGCCTGTAAATGAGTTGTCAATACTTAAAGGTGCATCCCACTGTCATACTCTTACTGATATTTATAGATGGCAGGTCAGCACTCCCCTTCTCGAGCACGTAGCCACATACAAAGACTGTTTCGTTTTGTTTTTTTTTAAACAGGAGAGAGAAGTTTGTGTCAATAATACTTCTCAGTGGAAATAATTACTCTGCTGTTTGCAGTGAGAGGCTGGCCTGGCATGGCTACAGGCCTAATTGGTATTCGTTATGACCCCAGGAATTATGAACATGCTTACACAACACTCGTTTTGATTAGTGTTCTGCCAGTGTCTGAACCAACAAAGGAACGGCAGGTGTTTTATAAACAGTGAACGTGGTAAGGTGAAAGACTGTGTTGCAATTTCAAGCAATTACCGGGCAAAACATTTGTATTCATCTGTATTTTTTCTGCTCAACTCTAATTTCAAAAATTAAAATGTGTAAAATAGTTGCGAGCTGTGGTTTTGTGTGCAGAGCTCTGAAGCATCTACAACAGCTGTTATTAAGTGAAGTGCTTCAGACCCATCAAGAGCTGAAAGGTCAGTTCTTCCTATAGGTTTTCATGAGGTTATACATTTTTCATCACGTACATTAACTATCATTCCTAATGCATTATTAATAAGTGCTTGGGGGAGGTTGATGAAGTGAGAGGTTTGCAAGGCATTAAATAGCCTCAGCTCTACATTTTGATACACCCTCATTACCTACTACTTGGTGCTGCTATTGATTAGTTCAACTCCCGTTTGTAGATTCAAGCTACTCCACTCCCTCTGCTGCAGATAGTTGATTATTCATAGAAAGCATGCCCCTAAATACCTTGACACTTAAAGAAACCCTGGTCATTTTTGCTTGTTTGTAAGCTCCATCATAATGCTTCAAAACCCCATATTTCAGATTTAGAGGAGGACCACTGCAAGAAAAAGCAACTGTTTGTAGTCACAGCTGCCTTGGTAATATTGGTGTCTCCTCCACCAGCCTCAACTCCATAAAGTTGCTGTCACTTGTCTGAATTGCAACATCAGGAGATGCGAGTCCTGTCTGTCATTGGTCAGAAACTCAAGTAGTGTGGTTCCAGAATAAAATATCATCCTACAGCCGCATATTGAGAGGATCGAGGTGTCAAACAGAGACAGCCGGAGGCGATCATTCCTGCAGCAGTGGGAGGAACTGCTTGACACTGCATTTTTTTTTTCTGAATGCAAGAATGTAGGCAAAGAAAATAACTTTTCAAACTAGTTTTTAAAGTTTACATTTATGCGGCTGAGCTGCAGTTAAAAAATAAATAATTTTGGTTTGTACGCTGACTTTTGTCTGTGATTGATAGGTTGAATCGATCTCGAGCTGTTTATGTGCCGGATATCAAAAAACAATTGAAAAGATTCCCATGAGGCACAGGTGATGCCATCAGATGTCTTGTGCTTTTCAAACGCCTGCCTACAAATATTCGGCTCTTATGACAGCTCAACTTACTCAGCAAAATCTTACATTTTTGAGTCTTGCACCATCAACTTTTGACATACTGCAGTGAAATTTTGTAAATTCATTTGATTTGATACAGCTGAACAAATATTAAATTATATAGGTGCTTTTATTTCCAAGGATATTTATAATTTAAGTTAAAGCTCCTGTGAGAAACTTTGATTATGTGCGTGACAGTCTTCGCTAATCTTGTTCTCTAGGTGCTTAAGCAGTAAAGATACCTGGTAATTTGATGTTTTTAGTTCTGTTTAATTTTATTCCTCCTACATTTGACCTGCATTTTGCTAGCGTTTAACAGATGTAAACAAATGTATTGGAGAGTAGCATGACAGTTGTGCAAAATAAACATGGCAGAGATTTCCAATTTTAACGTTTGGCAACCCTTTGCATTTTACAAAGAAGACGGACAACTTCGCAAGTCAAATGCAATTTAGAAAATGCGCCGTGCTGCTCTCAAGTACAGTTAATACACTAGCTTATTATTCATTCAAAACATCCACACTGTGTGACTGCAGAGACACCTGCCAGTGCCAAGGCACCCCTCAACACCCTAAGGTTTAGGCTCATAGCCCCAAGAGTGATATTGCGAAATGTCTCTTCAGCGAAACTGACGCCTACTTAAAATAAAGAAATCCTCAATCTTGTTGCAAATGATCTTTTTTGCTTTTGAAGAGCTAGAGGACACGGTCAGTTTCATGACCTGCATAAAAAACTCCTCACTGGGTCTTTAATGTTGCACTTGATTTCTTTTAAACGCTGAGTTTTACCCAGTTTAAATGCACTGCATACATCATCCACTTTACTTGACACTATCAAACCTTGACATTAAAACCTAAAATCATGTGATGTTTATGCAACAAGGGATGAAATATGAATACAGGTTTTTCAGGCTTAATATGATTACAGTAAATGCAGCGCTCGTTACTGTCTGTACAAATCAAGAGTTTTCACTGCGGTCTCACATAATGCCTGTAATGAGTCACACGCCCACAGTATGATGGAAGTTGGCTAATTGATAAATGATTATAACATTCAATTTGAAGTACAACCCACCCTGTGGTTATCAACTATGTGTCGTGGTTATAATAAAACAGCTTAGACTGAGCAAATGAGAGTGGGTCAGGTAAAAACAGAATTACAGTAATGACGAAAAAGGGAATTTAAAATAACACAGGTCACTTCACTGTACGAGCTGCAGAAACCTACAACCACTGCTCACATATGACTGGTATGACCTAAATTATGAGTCAGTGCTAGCAATGAGAGCACTCTCTCTTTGCAACAGGTTTTTTGTGTTGAATAGAAGTCTAGAAATCATCAGTGATAGTGTGGGAACTTTAAAAGGAAATTTAACATTAGCTTGCTTTCTTATGTATGACTGTATATTCTTTGAATGACTAACAATATATAAAAACTCAAGTCTGAAACTAATCAGTAGTATTTTTTCTCCAAACATCGTTATCAGCATGAAATCCTCTTGAATCAAAGAATTTCTCTGTGATTTTTAATTAAACATTTAAAATGTTGTTTTCTGCATTTTATTGTGAAAAATATACAAAAGTAAGCACCAACTAATGACAGTTCTGACCTCTCTCGAATAAGCCATCATTACATAACCCCTATACTAAAAGAATTGGAGTGCAGACTTAGTCATTGTTATTGATATTTCTTGCAGAGATGTAGGTGCACCGAGCCAAAAAAAGAATAACTGCCCACCTGAATGCCACGGGAAGGGAGTACTTTTCTCAAAATAATCACATTTTCTCTCACAGGCAGGCTGCTGCGTATTGTACTCACAAAAGAGAGTGTGGCTGAAGAATGTGAAAATGGACCATAAAGCAGGACCATAAGTCTTTACTTTGATTTGTGCAGGACCTTATATTGGATGGCAGATTAAATTTAACACTGAAATGTTAATGTTTTATATTTTAAACCTACGGTCTAACAAGTCCAGACATAAACCATTGATCGCTCTTGGTTCTAACACAAAAGCCACTCGTCTAAAGTATCAAAAGTGAGTATCAAAAGTTGTTTATGCGTGTCTTACAAGTTGGGTTCAATCATTTTGAACCCCTCTGGATAGATGCAAATGTCAAACCTAGTTCTCTTCCTGTCAAATAAAAGGGGCTGTACACCATTTTTGAGGCTTTACAAATAGTATTACATTTTATTAATATATTTTCATAAAACAAGTTTAAGACTGTATCAAAAACTCAGTAAAAACATTAGATTTTTAACCATTTTTTCTTATGGTGATATCAGATATGAAATGTACATAATTCACATGTTGTGGTTTCCCCATCATATTGAGATAATGCATTATACTTTTGTGACGGGCAGGTAAACGTTCTTTTGTACCCTCACAAACTATAAAGTCTTTTTTTTTTTCTCATGATTGTGATCATAAATCTAGACATACAGTTGAAAAATAAAATTATTTCCCACTCTGGACCCTCCCCTCTCCCCGACTAGGTTTACCGATAAAACACTAACATTATGGAGTTGTTTAATTTCACAGGCACACAATTATGTACATCCCCATGTTCCCATGCCTCATCTGAACTGACAACAGGCAGTGCACCTGACAGCATAGTGCAACACCTAGAGGCAGAGCAGTGATAATACAGAACTCTAAGCCCACCCACCCCTCACACTACCATAACCAACCTGAAATAAGACAGTGGATCCACCAGTTTCTACCCTGCTGTGACCCACAGCATTCCATTGGCCCCAACATCATTGTTGTAGCAACCCCACGAGGTTCGCCTTGTGACCACAGACATCACCTTGGCAACAGCAAATACCATCCATCTCACAGGCAGGTTCAGTGGCACACACATAAAAAAAATCATTATTTGTATGTAACTTAATGAGGCTACATCTATAACAGGCGTGATCTGTGTAATGTCCTTTGTGATCAAGTACCAGAGGAATCTCAGTCATGTGGTAAGCTCAAGGATACAAAAGACATTTTCTCCTTATTGGACTACCACTTACTGCGTTCAATTCTGCGCAAGACACATAGTGCAAGGTTTAACAAGAATTTGCATAAGTGCAAGGTTTGCATGTTATTGTCAAGAGGGAGCAAAGCATAGAAGGGAACAGAGAGAGAGAGAGATCAAAGTTGACTAAACAAACAGATTTTTGTGTAAATAAAGTGTTTCATGCTTTCAGTTTGGCATTTTGTAATTCATTCCCCTCTAGAAATAACAGGTGCAAAATCTTAGTAAACCTAGCCGAAGGACAGATCAGAGTGATATAGAACTCATAAAGATCAACATTGTGAGGAAGAGCCTCAAGTCTGTTGTCATGGTGACATCTGCTCGAAGGCCCTGTGGGCTTCAGTCTTTCCTGCTTCTTTATTATTTTCTATACAATAGAAATAGTACGTCATTGAAGGTAAAATTGACTCTTCTTGGCAAAAAACAGACAGAAAAAGAATATGCAAGAAGTCAAAGTAGATCTGATGGAGGAAAAAAAACAAACAAACAAAGGGCAGGAATTATAAACTGTTCCCCATCCATTTGCCCTGTGCCAGTAGTAGAATTGTACGATACAGTGTCCTATCCACGATAGTCAAATATATGGGTATGGTTGCCTGCTCCTCTACAAAGTCAAAGCCATTTCAAAGAACACGTAAAATTACTCCTGTAGTAGTTTTTAACGAGCACATCCCTACATTGCACCTTCTTTCCAAACTGAAAGCTCTGGTGTGCGTTAGGGAGGCACGTAGGGAGGTGGAGACCTGTATGAGGTCATGTTCTTAGGGCGTGAACCTTTGCCCTCAATGGGGACAGTAAATGGTGGTGGGGGCTGGTAAGGAGGGGCATTAGGATCATCGTCTTGATAAACAGAGTACTCCTCAAGCAGATCTTGATTCAGCAGGGTGCTGTGAGGCCCAGCCATGTTAGGGTACTCCGGTGGGGGGAGAGGGGGCTTTTCCTCCTGGAGGATAAGCGGGATGCTGGAGGATGGGGGTGACTTGGAATCGTCCAACTCATCTGCAAAGATTATTGGAACTCCTTTTTTGATGAAAGTGGCTTGCTCCTCTATGGTCATCTTCCCTTTGCGCTTCTTGCGGTAGCAGACCATGGCGATGATTCCAGCGATGAGAAGCAGGGCTGCGACCACGACAGCAGGAATGACAGTGTGTAGGTAAACATCATCGGTGCTCCTGCGACCCGTCCCAGGTGATGGTGTCGCTGTAGGAAGAACAGGCATTGGCACCTCACCCGGTGGAATGAATGTGTAGCTCTGACATTTATTGGTGCCACGAACAGAGATGTTGATTGGTTTGAATTCAGGCTCCATAGCTTTAATGAAAGCCAGTTTAGGTGTCCCTTGAGGGTCAGCGATCTTGTTGCTGAGAACGGTGATCTGCTCCTTTGGACAAGGGCTCTGCTGCAGGCTGTTGTTGGTCCATTCCACCACAATAGAGCCGCTAGTGATGCTTCTTAATGTTACTGTGCTGCTGTTGCGATCACCTAGGGCATAAGCTAACTTTTTGGTCAGAAGAATCTTCTTATGGACATCATTGCTTACACTTCTGGGGTCACCGTGGAAACGAGCAGCAAAGACAACAGAGGGTTTGTCATTCGAGGACCAACGATTTACTCGAACCTCAAATGCATCCATGATGCTCTTCCCGCCCTTATCTGTGGCCAACATGAAGTACTCATGCTTGCCCTCATGCTGCTCCTCTGGTAGGCCGTACAAGAGCTGGATAGTGCTGTTGAACTGGATCCAAGATGTTTCACTCACAGCTTCTTTTGGGGTCTTCTTCAGAGTCAAACGCAGCTTATCCGTGGTGCCGTCCTCACTGTCAAAGAATGTATCCGGCGGAATTTTCACCTCAAAGTAGGTGCCAACCCACGCATTCACCTGATCAATAGGGTTGCGGATGTCTGGAGTTTTATTTGAGTCTGGAGTCATAGGGAGAGTGGTGGTGTGCTTGGGTGGTTTAGGGGTGGTAGACTTTGGTTCTCGTGGAGGAGGGGTGGAGGAGGATTTGGGCTTCTTAGGTTTCTTTGTGGCAGGGGGTTTGGGTCTTTTGGTGGTGCTTGGTGCTGTTGGCAAAGCAGTGGCCTCCACAAATGTAGGCCGTGTCATGGTTGGCTGAATTGGGATGGTGCTTGTGGTTCCTAGTACTCTTGTTGGTTGGGGAGGTCCAGAGACAGGTGTGTGCGCTATCTGATCTCTTACTCTCATAGTTGGCATCACCGGAAGTGGCAAAGGACCTCGGACAGGGGGAGCGGAGTTATCTGTTGCTGGGGCAATAGAGGGCGAAGTTGGTGTGGGTACTACACGGACAGGAGGCTCTATGTGAGTTGTAGGAGGGAGCAGGGAGGGCACCGGAGTAGGGGTGTTGTATAACTGTCGTCGGACACGTTTCACTCCATGCGTTTTTTTGTTGACTATGTGCCAGCCCACCACTGGATACCCCAGCCTGGCCGACATGGTCCCATCCTTTGCTGAGGATTGAACACTGTTAATGTCAGGAATACTGCCCTGATCAAGTGCACATCCAAGTTTCCATGACAATAAGGCCCCATTTTCCACCACCTTCTTGGCGTTTCCTGGTCCAGCCATAAAAGCAGTCATGTCAAATAAGCGGTTGTTGACAACAGGGACAACTCTCATGTGCTCCAGCGGCACATGGGAGAACTTTCTCATAATGGCCAGTAAGTTGACCCTCTGCTCAGCAACCATCTTTGTCAAGTCAGCATCCAAGATGACAGTGAGGACAGTGACTGGCTCATTAGAGCCACAGGTGAAAGGCTGGACACCACTGATATCAGACTGGAGAGTGAGCAGGGCTGGCTCAGTGTCTGCCCGTTCCTCTGGGTATACTTCAATAGAGAAGACCGTGCTGGGAAACACTTGGCTGCCAGTCTTCTCAATTATCTCTTCTCCGGACACCATGATATGATACACACCTTTGTCCTGCTCCAGGGCCAGACCTCTAAGGGTGCAACTTTCTTTGTCCCAGTATAGCCAGGAGGGTAAAATATCCTTTCCCATCTCTTTGAGCTGCAGGAAATAAAAGAGAAAAACTTAAATTTACCACACTTATGAGATAAAAGTAAAGTCGTTATGTAAAAATGTATTCATAATAAATGTTTTTGTTAGAGTGGGACCCTAAATTTAAAGAGACAGTAAAAAAAGAGGAAACCAAGTTAACACTGTATTTGCAAACGGCAACTGTGATGTTGTAGCTATGAAATGTTTAGTAATAACTATACAGAGATGAATAACTGATTACATCGGGATTTGCAGCTCTCCATTTCATATGGACCGAGTTGCCAGTGAAAGAGGAACTTTAAAAAAACACATCGGAGTGCAAACCATTCAAATATCCAGAGAAAAGCACAAATGCTTTCAATATCTATCCAACCACCAACCCCCTCCATTTTCCATTCAGCTTATCAAATCTCTCCAAATGTGAACAGGAAGCAGAGTGAGCTTGTATTCATCATAACTATGTGAGTCATCACTATTCATTTTGACTTATTACGGTATGACAGGATATCATTCGGCATCACCACTCGGGCCAATAATAATCTCATCTCATTCATAAGTCAGACTGGAACAAATTGCACCACAGTCAGCTTCAATCAGCAGTTATACAGTGATCAAAACTGAAAGGACTAATACTATGTATTATGTATTTCCTGAGTGGCAGAAAAAAAGTACTGTGACCATATCTAGCCCTCGCAAGGTACATTACACTTTCAGAAAGGAGTGCATAGCTATTTTCATAATCCTGGAGGAATTGTAAGTGATTGTGTTTTATTATTCCGTCAATATTCTACAGTTCAATCACACCTTAATTACATATTTACTGAGTTGAACTTAGGCATGTGGTCAAACTAGTTTTATACAGTTTTGAAAGTTGCTGTGTGAAACCCTGAAGTTCGGCACAGGTTTAACAAACATTCAGATTAGGGAACGATAGTAGCTACACCATGGGAAACCATCAAGATCGGGGGAAAGGGCAACTCCACAATAAAAAGGATGAGTAAAAAAAATCTGAAGTTGATTAGGTGATTGAAAAAATCCTCTCGGTCTAAATCCAATTTCCCTCCAAGAACATGGCTGATTTATGCTGCCCCGATTCATTTCTATAAAATCTACATGAAAAAAAGAACATGTATGAGGAAGTCTCATGGCATGCATAAAAAATCAGCTAATAATATGAAAACCAAATTTATCTTGAGCTTATTCACATTTTCACTTACATGGACATTACAAGTGGCATTTGCAGGTCCTGCAGGAACCTTTAACTGGAACACCTGGCCCACGATTGCCGAGGAGTCAGGGATACCAGTGTGTACTCCCCCATTCTTTACAGAGGAGTCAGGAAAGGCTGAAGGTGGGCCTTCACCGACAGAGGATGCTGCAGCCTGAAGCTCAGAGAGCACAGATGACTTCATAGAAGCCTCTAGTTCCACAGGTATCATCTCCACCATAGTCTCTTGCTGTTCTTGCGCAGAACCCTGGACTAAAGTCACCAGAATCCCTATTACCAGAGGGATAGTCCTGCACGAAAGTAGCCTGCTCCTCCCGGCATCGCTGCAGCTCATGTCTTTCCTTTTAAAGTGCATAGCAGTAGGCCTTCGGGCTGCCCAACAGATGTCTGTGAACAACTTAAGAGGCCACATGCACTGAAGTCAGTCTGATGATATGCTTCTGTTTGGACCCCCCTAGTTGTTGGCTTTGTTCACAGATGCGGTGATTTCTTTTTGTTTTCTTCTATGATCCATGAAGAGGTCTTTGGCAACCTGTTAGACAGCCATGTCAGCCAGCTCTGTGAGGAAACAAACAGACATGAAGAAACGTGAGTGTGTCATTTGGGCACAAAAACGAGTAATTGGCTTACACAGTGAAGAGATAAGATCTCTCCCAACTCTATAAATATGTTTGCCTGCACATGGATGTGTTTTTTCAATTTGCAACCCTCTCTTAAGTTGTGGATTTCCCTTATTTTTTCCTTTTTCTTTGCAAAAAGTTGCAGCAATAGTCTTGTAGTCCCTAATTACTCAGTATTTGTGATCTTGCGCAGTTTATCTGTTCAGTGTTAGCTGGCCTCCTCGACACAATCTTTACACTCTGGATCTATTTTAAAGTTACCTGTCAAAGAGCTAGCAACAACAGCTGGTTAGTGCATGACAAAGAACACGCCCACTTCCCACTGCAGAGCATTGTTTTAGCTGCCAGTGGAGGAAGTGGATGTCTTCTGTAAAAGAGAAAGAGAAGAGGGGAACTAAAGGGCAAGAGAGGGATGGCTCACCACCAGATGTTTTTATCTCATCACAGTCTTAAAATGAGCAAGACAGCTGTGACCAATCTCACTAAACTATATATTTAAATTTGACTGATAAAATATCTGCTGTTTTCAGGCCATAGCCAATATCAGATTAATCTTCTAACTGGTGGCATAACGAGATTTTCTAACATGAGAAAAAAAAACAGACATTGATCAAAACTGGGAAAAGCATAAATCAGTCTGCCCCAGCTCTGGGATTTAATTTTATTTGATCATCTGTACAGACTGGTTATGATTCGTGCATCATAAATCTCAATTTACTGTTAAATAGGGACAAGACTATTAACTGGAGAGTATCTGCATGGATTCCTATTGTAACCGATGTGGTACTGGACTTTCATAAGCTACAACACATAGACTCTTTAAAGCGTGGGTTCTGAATTGTATTGAATTTTGGAGAAAAAAAGAAACAGCAGTATGTAATCGTTCATTTCTGCTTGATATTGTTTTGATTCAGTTCAGAGAGGATTTTCATTTCCCGTATAGGTTTACTTCAAGAGTTACAAACAATATTATCAAAAGGACACAATCTCCTTCTGATCTTCACTCCCTTGTCGTGGTATTTCCAGTAATAGCGATCCTCACGAGATGCCCAAGTGCCAAAGGTTGTTTGTCTTAGTTGTAAGTTTTAATTAGGTGCCCTGGGGGTTGGAATAGAAGTCTCCATTGTGCTGACCCAGCTAACCCCAATCCTGTAGCACTCTGAGACAGGCAGAGGAGGGTCGCCCGATTGCCTGGAATCCTAATGCCTGACTGGCACAAAGCTGTGACGTCAACCTACACATCAGAAATACTACCTGCTTTAAAACCGCTTTGAATCCATGTGGGAAACTTTTACAGTGGGTCCCTCGCTACACATCCTCTTTGAAAAACTACGCAGTGAAATGATTTGATTTGTACAAAACCCATTGTTCAAAAGATCATTTCATGCTGTTTGATCTACCCCGTATTTTTAGATAATTCACACAAGAAAGAGCCAACAAAAAACCTCAAATAAACCCGGTCAGAGCCAACACAAACGATGTAATCCAAAAATATACATCTATTTACCTGAACACAAGCACAAGGAGATGCACAGCCTCATTTAGAACAAACTATGAATTAATTCGACTTAATAAAGGGTAGTCATTATTGAGATCAGCCATGCATGGTGTTCCAGTCAACAATATCACTATCACTCTATACAAGGCCACAAATAAAGCCAAGCTTAAAAGGACAGATATGCTTTTGTTACTTAATCGCCGTAGTTCCCTTCTTAATCAATAACAGATATCTTATATACAAATAATAATGTTAATGCAATCCTACAAATCCGACTGCTACTGCTGCTGACATCAAAGTACACAGTTCGTACTGTTCCTATGGGAAATTACATTAGTTAACTAAAAAAAAAATAAAAGGTCCATATCCAGAACATTTTAGTTCAGTTTTAGTTTCAGGCATCTGAAGCTGTTTTTTTTTTTTTAACCTTTTCAACACATTTAATTAGCTCATTTGCAATTCATGCAGTCAAAAGGCAGCATACTAAACAGTTGGATGACTGTATTTTCTCTGCTGAATGGAGCTGAGACATTTTCAATAGAAAACATTGTTCAAGGTGGGAGTGATCAAAATCTCTGTGGGAATTGGATGAAATGGTCAGGAATTCTGTAGATTGTGTACAATCTTTGATCAAGTACCTAAGGCTGGACTCAAAGTTAAAATAATCGAAATAAATGAAAAATAATCAGATGATACAAAATACAATGAACTGTGAGATCAAAGTTAAAGTTATTCTTCTTTTAATGACTAAATCCTTTTGAGAAATGGGTATGAATTGTGTAAACAGTCTTCTTTAGTGATAGTCATTTTAGTTTATAAGGGTTCAAGTACAGTGCCATCCTTCACAAACTTCTCCAATAACTGTCAACATTATTATGATCTGAGTGTTTCATTACAAGGAGCGAGTATCTTTTTAGTGGTGAACAGCTCAGCCAGCTATGAGGAGACAGGCCAGGCCACTGCTTTTGCAATTTGTAAGATTTCATCACTAGACGAGCTCTTGTATACTGGAGCCAGCCCCCTTTTGTTTTGTTTTTTTTTTGTCCTGTGAAACTATTGTGCCGTAGATCATCTTCTGGCAGTGCTCGATAAAGCATGTAGGCTAATGTTGGCTGGACAAAACGACTCCAGCCATATTATGCGATCCATGTATTGAACCTTTAAGAGGTAATGGCGATGATCCATGTCCTTTGTAGGTAAACAGTGTTGGGCATCGGGCAGAGGAATGGAGCACTATTTAACAACAGTACATTAAACCTATACATTAGTCACATCAATCCATATTTACAACGTCATGTATACAAAAGCCTCTCTGGTGATGTGCTCAGCTCATCTCGCTTGTTCAAAAATAGAGAATTCTGACAAGTCAGGATATATTACTGATAAAGCTAGTTTTAAGCGTATCCTGATCCTGTTTATAATGAAAGCCTTGAAAAACCAGAGCATCCGTTATACATACAGTAAGGAAAAGATGCATGATTTCTGAAGGGGCTGTGTACTGAGCTGACACTAACCATGTGCTCTCAATTTTCCTGCCCAGGAGTCCTCAAGTGTTCATCTTTTACATTTCAACTATGAGCGAGATCATCCGCAGAGGGCACCTGCTCCCCAACAGGTCCAGGTAAATCAAACCGGTAGAAGCTGAACAAAAATAGAAATATAATTAAAGTTTAGCTCGAACTGAAAGGTAAAATCGGTCAGGAATCTAAAACATAATGGGAAGTAGATTTGAAAAGTAATAAAAAGTGGCTTGAAAATGCAGATATCTAACTGACTGGATGTTATATCCAACTGTATGTGTATGTATGATTTTATCAGAACCCCTGTTGAAATCATTTGATTACCCAGCCCTTTGACAAAACACTAAGTCATGTCTCACCTAACCCGTTAACCAGGTTGGGACATGCCCCTTGTCTGGGATATTCCAACAGCTGAGTCAGTTCAGTCTTTATACCCATGCTCTTCCCCTCCAGCACAACCCCCCTCTGATTTTGAAGCTCCCAGAACCAAAAACAGGTTTCCCTTTACATGGAAAAGTCAAATTACTTCTTCATAGAGTATATGTATGACTTAAGCTAAGTATCAACGTGTTATAACATGTTAAACACAAACATTAACATGCAAACAGATTTTCCCTTTAAGCTTAATTTAATTCAGAGGGAGACAGTGCCTTATTTCTGCTGTTGCCACACACGTGTTAAAAAAGCTATATCAAAGCATCAAAGTAGGCTCTCCATAATGCAGCCCAGATCATGCAATCATTTCACTGTGCGATTCAAATTCCAATTAAAAGCACCTCATTAAGAATATGAAAGTCAATTTGCACTGCTCAACAACAAACCATTATTAAAATGAAGCATATGCATAATAAAATGTATTTCAGGAGAGTTAAACTCAATCGTAATGAGGATGTGTCATGTGAGAAAGAAAACTGTATGGTTTGACTAAAGCAGAGGGATGAAACCACTTTGCAAATTGCTGAGAGGATTGACCTTCAAGCTTAATGTAAAATTTACAATTAACTCTCTCTTGGAGTCTGTTTGACTGAATTATCTCAGCCTATAGAGTGGTCTGAAAGTAGGGCATGCTTACATCCATGTGTAAAAACAACCATTTCATACTGCTAGTGGAGGGGGTAATTCAGCCTTATTGTAGTCCTCACAATAACTCCTTTACAACACATGTGCAGTTATGCGGTTTCAGATGTGGTTTTAAAATCCCAAAGTGCTAAAACAAAGGTGTAACTTTCAGTACTTATTTGGGGAGGTGAGTATGATGCAACTTGTTTATTTTCCACCAAACACTTATTAAATCTGGACTTTTTATGGCAAGCTCTTAATACACATGTGGTAAACAGTACAACGGCACAGGCTTGAGTGTGGGGAATTACTGCCTATTTCAGACCGCACAACTTGGGGAGGGGACGAAAGCGTTTACGACCATAGTATCCACGCTGTCTGCAGTTCGACAGTAGTTAAAACTTGAGAACCATCAAAAATAATTAGGGCTCTGATGCACAGTAGCACTCAGGGCCAATTGAATTGACGTACCACATCCAGCAGCCTCCAGATAGTTCATGAGCTGAATAACAAACATATCCACAAGACAAGCTTGCTTTGCAATTGGATGTTTCCCTTGTGTTTCCCTCTTACGCTGTTAGACAAAGTAATGAAATATGCGGTGAGACAACAATAGTAGAAAACAGCTTTGGCTGAGTGAAAATCCCCCCTTGGCAACATGACCTAGGAGGAGCTGGTTTAACTGTACAGGAAAACTTTATGTATGCAGCTCAATATTACAAATTGAGTAATCACTTGTGTGTTTTTATGACTGCAAATGAAACCAAAGCTTCATGCATGAGTACATTTACAAAGAGTGAAACCATGGCGAGGCTCAGTCTCTGCTCTGTAAAGCTTCCTAACGACCCACACTAGTCTCAGAAAATTAGTTGTTGTGATGTCTCATTTTCCTAACTGCTACACCGTGTTAAAACGACTTACAAGCTGCAAATTTCTATAATAATACCAGCATAAACTCGTTATAAAATGACGACATGTGGCTGAAGGAAAAACAGCTGGAACTGCTATAGTGTTTGGAAACTCGAGCTTGTTATAGAAATGTTAATTAGGCTAAACAACTCCCTACAACACAAAGCCATTTAAAAGGAGACGAGGTTGCTGAAAACGGATATCTTTTAAGGTGTTTGCTATTAAAAGACACTGCTATCGTCGTAAAAACTGTTTAAGGTTGACAACTAGTAGTGGGCCAATTGCCAGATAATGAGAGCTAGCTTTAGCTACCCGGCCCGTCTCACTTGGCCCAGTTTCCATTAGAGTCGGCAGACGAGGCCTTTATATATAGATAACGCCATCTACAACCTTGATAAATCATTTAAAAGGCAATATTGAATAAACTCAGCGTTAAAGCAATTATAAAACCCAAACAGTACCCAAAATATAAGAGCTGCATATACGCTGAGTGGCTGCGTTAAGGACTTTTCAGCATCTGTGCGCCGCTAGCGCAGAGATGCACCTGTTTTATTCTAGGCGGAAACAAGGAGCGAGGTGCAACCACTGCTGCTGCTGCTCCAGGGGCATTCACATCGCATACATCTATCCGTAACACAATATTCCAGCTGACGTTAGCCATCAGCTTCCACCTCGAGTTTACTTCTTGTAATCCCCCGTGATAAGAAGCTATAGACGGGAGCCAGCTCCGTCTCTTTGAGTCGAGTAACCGGGCTGAGAGATGGTAGTTAGCCCGACCAAGCGCTGAGCTAACTAACCAGCTAACACCAAGAGAGTCGGCTGGTGACAAAAACAACCGCTTACACGTCCTGACAACAGAGAGGACTCGTTTATTATCATGTAAAATGATCGAGTTAAAGAGGATGGCGGTGGTGGTGTCGGTGATAGTGATGGTTCTGCTTCCAGAGCAACAGAACCCAGAAATCAAACTGACCTTGTTAGCGAGCTAACGTTAGCTTACTCGCGCCGTGATGTCTCCTCTTCTTGCAGGAGAGCTCCGCGGAGACTTCCAAAATGCCATTAAACATGCGATTTCTCCCCCTCAACGCCACAGACAGATGTGTAAGAGTATCTGAGCACAGCCGAGAGAGCAGATATCTCTCCGGTGCGGTGGGTCTACGGATAGTTCGCCGCTCTATATTGTAATTATGTCGGGTAGCAACCCCTCCCTTGCTGCCTCCGTCCTCCTCGCAGACAGGTCTACAGGTTGAGGCCAATCGTGTGTACCAGCATGACTCCGCCTCCCCTTTTTCTTTGGAGACATGCAGGTAAAAGAATAAAAATAAACGCTAACTTTAATTATCAAGTGTATTAATGTGATTAAGATGCGTCCTAAAACTCACAGTGGAAGTACTCTTGATGATGATCATGCATGAGAATAAGAATAAGAAGAATAACTTTATTAATTCAATTTATCAGTTGTCTCACAAAACATGTCTCTAACAGTTATCTACTATGTACACAAGAGTTATAAAGTCTGATGGCTGTTGGTTCTTTCCATCAAGGTGTTGTGAAGTGGGTGATCCATGTTCTTAAGAATAGTCTCCACCTTCCTCAGTGTAGATCTCTCCACCACATCCTCAACTGAGTGCAGCTTGAGTCCAACCACAGAGCCAGCCTTTTTCACCAGTTTGTTCAGACGTCTTGCATCTTTGTGTTTGATGCTTCCTCCCCAGCAGACTACAGCGTAGAACAGAACACTTGCCACCACAGACTGATAAAACATCTGCAGCATCTTACTACAGATGTCTATCATCGGGGTCTTCTCAGGCAAAAGATGTAGTCTGTTTTCTTAGACCGGTTCAACCTATTATCCAGATGTACACTTAGGTACATTTTATGATGATGATGATGATCATGCATGAGGGTCTAACAGGAACCCTCCTTTACCTGCAAATTTAAGTAGGTTCTGGGACCTTCATGGGTTTACATCTCTAGAACTACTTCATAAAAGGCATGGTCTATTCAGTTGTAAGTTTACTACAAAAACATAATTCTATTTTTTATCCAGGAAAGTTATAAAAATAGTTGACCCTATTGGACACATAGTTGATCGTTCACTCATGTTAAGAGGACAGTAGGAACATACAGGATGTCCTTGCAGCCTCCTCCTGTTATTTTGCACGGCTATAGACCCACATGGCAATAACCCTCAGGACTTTATCTCTAGTCAAATGTACAGATCACTCATATTTGTATGTCTGCTGTACAGTAAATATTGCACAGTCTGTACATTTATATCCTGGGTTTGATAAATTATTGTTTATCATGTTGAAATTGTCAAGCCGGAAGATGTTTCTCAAGTAAAAGTCTGTGAAAGGAAGTTTTAATAAAAAAAAAAAAGGAGAGTGTATCTGCTTTTGCTCTCATTGAGGTCTTTATCACAAGTATATCAAAGAGGGCTCTACAGAGAATGAGCCCTCTTTGATCTAGCAGAAAATCAGTACAGAATAACAAGGCACAGGGCAGCGTGCAACAAAAAGAAATTTAACAAAGCAATTTTTAATTTAAAAGGCGTAAATGGCCTACATTGCACCTAGACCCCTGCTTTGTGGCGTTCTCTGCAAACGCAAACTTTCAAATGTATTGAAGAGGAGTGTAAATCTCCTGAAAATGGTCTGTTTATATGGAAATATGCATCTATAAGTGAGTACGTCTCTATAAGTTCCTCTCTTAATCCATCAAAATATACCCCCCCTCTACAATGAGATCTCTATGCTGATTCTGTGCATAGTTTCATTTGCGGTTTCATCGTGCCAGATCACATCTAAGACATATTATTGCAGACAGTGTGCAGCACAGTTGTTTGTTTTCCTGTCTCTGCCCTAAAAACTGTCGGCAAACTCTCTTCCTACCCCTTACTGAACAGGTGTTGTCAGAAAATGTTCGCTGCTTAACTCTAGTGTCAAGGTAAAAACTCTAGTCACATGGCTCGGATGAGGAGCGCTCACGTTCTAAAGGTTATATTTGTTCACAGAGCTGAAATCATTAACAACAGAGTGACTCATTTTCTGTTTGAACAGGTGAAAAATATGTCAGCAATACAACTTCAAAACAGTCCTAACCCCTACCCTAAATTCAGTGTCTTTGTCAACATCAAGATCCTTTTATTGACTTAAGTATCTTGAATATCTTCTTATCAACCTTCAAAGGAAATAAACATCTGCCCTTTTAAGGAAATCTCTGGGACTTTATTGACAATGTGTCTGGGGAATCTTAGTAGAGACGGTTTATCGCAGGGATGTGTTACACACTGTTTGCATTTGTGCATTTGCATCAGTGCGTTCTGTCTCACAGAAACACCTAAGTGTTAAGTGAAGGGAACTGATATTAGTCATAAGATGGGGGCATGCGGTTGTTTAGAGGGTCAAGTATGATGTAATGTTGGGTGAGAAGTTCAGTCATTTTCTTCTTAAGATGTTATTTCATCCCTTCACTGTCTCTGATGAAACTAATCACATAACAGGGTGCCTATTAATATCTATTGTAAGAATATGAGTTAGTTTGTATATTGTAGAAGCAGCAGTCCCTAAAGAGTCCCTTACATTTCTTTGTTTCACCTTGACGACTTTGTATCCTCTTCATTTGAGGTGAAATGACACAGATAGAAACAATAAAAGCAGCTTACAGGAATAAATGGTTATACTAGCCAGCATTATTATGGTTTAAAATGGGGCACAGGTTCTGTTGGGAGCAATACTTGAAAGAGGAAATAACAGCTTAAAGAAAAAGGAACCATCTCCCAGACTAGGCTGAAAAACTTGAAGAAGGGAAGAGCAGCACAGTGAAAAACAACTCAGAATGAAACAACATTCACAGAGGCCATTATGCTGACAAATAAAACAGTGGAAATGGGCATTCTTATGATTCGTTTTGCCAACAAATGATTAGATGTCTTATACTCCAGAGAAAATATTTGCGTGAAATATGTGGTGCCATTTATGTAATGCCATCATCACACATTATCATAAACTATAAATCGTGCAGATATCTTGGGGCAAAAAAGGAACGTGGTGTTCATGGCAACGGAGGAACGGCCTTCACGTACTAATAAATCCCTCGGCCAGCATGATTAGGATTTTAAGATAAGAGAAACGCAGCCTGTCTGTAATAGTTCACAGGCCTGTCAGTCATTTGGGTCCCTCTGACTCTTTGTTCACCCCTGTGAGGCGACAGCTTGAAAAAACAGCATGCATGTAATATCTGCATGTAGATTTGAGAAAATAGACTGGAAAATGAGTCTAAATTAAGCAGCTATTCAAAAGAGAACATGCACAGCTGATGAAATTCCTCCAGAATGTGATTCCAAATACATGCAGAGGATTAATTATATCTAAGATGCTGTATGCATTCATGTTTTAATCATATTACATTCATTACCATTAGAATCTATTGTTTTGGTAATTGTGTTATACCTCTTGACTACACCATCAGCACAGACATAATGTCTAAATTGTGTCACTGTCAGCTGAGAAGAATACACACATTTCTTCATCCCGTTGTTTACACTTGAGGCATATTATGGATGAGGGATTTTCATCGCGCATGCATCACACGGCTTTCATTTTGCCTAAACACACATACACAATAACACCTGCAGGCCTACTAGACCATGATAGCCCCACCGTGGAGGGGCTTTCATGTGATTGCACATATCAATCTGGCCCTTGATGTGCAACCACAGAGCGAGAAAGCGAGCGGATTATGAATCAGCTGACTCCCCACATTTTCTTCCAAGTGACTTATTAGAAGGGTTATTCTGAGCGGACTGTTGGACTGCTGAGGGGGGGTTGGCTGAGTAGTAAGACCCTCAATGGAGCCAATTTCCCTTTCTCTCACAGTGGCAGATTACTTCAGACAACCATTCTCGGCTTCAGTCAATAGCAAATGGAAAAATCCGGTCTGCTTTTTTCTGAGTTGTTCTCACAGATCCATCTTTTTCACCACCAATTTTGGGTTCAGTAATACTTTCAAATGTCTCCCTTTTGTGTTTTACTTTGTTCCTTTAAGAAAAAAGGGAAGGATTTCTGTAATTTCAGGAAATATTTCATAAAGAGGGCCATCAAAACTCTCTAAAGAACATGACCATTAAACCTTTTGCCTGTTTTAAAAGTTTTAGGCCTGCAGTGAATTTATGCTTACTCTGTCACTTATTCTTGTTGAGCTGATAATAGAACAGGAAGAAGGAGGATTTCCTTCTAGCACGCAGCGACCACAGCACTGTTCCTGTTTGTGTCTGCCCCCAGTAATCTGTTCTTGCTACTCAGCACAACAAGGTTTTTAAAGAAGGGTACCTTCATCACGTTTGCATGTTTACACACAAATACGTCTTTTGCAAGCCACTGTGACTTATTTACAAAATATTACGTCTCATTGACAAAGAAAATGGAGACTTCTGGTTTAATTTTGTCATATCTGCACATTATTCAGTTTGAATGAATCCAATCTAAGTCTTGCTCAGGCAAGTTAGCTGATTATTTGAAAATTACACTTTATAATTGTTCCACCATCAGAGACCCCAAAGGCAATTATAGAGGATTGGTCATTAGCTGGTCTGTAACCAGTGACAGCTCAAGCCACTTCATTACTGGTAACACACACAACTCTCAGGCAGACCTCATGCTAAATGGAAGTCTTGGGAAAAGCCCCTATAGGCTCTCTGAAAGGGTAATAGTTCTGTTATCGGAGCCAAACAGGCGTAATGACTGTGAAACACATCAAGAGGACATCAAATGTAGAAATAGGCAAATGGAATGGCCAATGGATAACCTCAAATGAACAACTAAAATCAAATCAAAACTCCCTTAATAGCCCCTAAAAGTGTACCCTGGCTCTTTAGTAGTGGCCCAGAATATCTTCAACTCAGCTCATCAGAGCTGTAACATGATTACGTTGTCCCAGGTTTGAGTCCTCTGGAAACCTTTACACGTTTGACATATGGAGTTTCATCTGCTAGTTGTGATAATTTCCTCATTTTGCTCAATAAACATTATTCTTATGAACAAACCGGAACAGAGGAGTTGTGTTTCTGGACCACCTCTTTGGTTTGATTTAAATGTCTAAGAAATCCTCCTTTGGTTAAATTAAATCAATATGGCTTTAGAGGACTGTAGGTCAGGCTGGCATGAAGTTAAAAGTACAATTTTTCCTTCAGTTTGGTTTATAATTTAACACTTTTCAAATAATGTGCCTGTCAGCCTTGGCTGGGTCAGTCGACAGAAATGTCCATTTTTCTGTCTTCAGCCTA